GTTCGAATGGGTCACAAAAAACCATCATTTTCTGGGCACCCTGCGTGCCAAAGCCCTCACATTCCGCAGCCTTCCAGCACCCCATGCACGTTCAAGCAGACGGAGACTTACTGGTTCCGAGAGGGAATGAGGGAATATGATCCCCATATTATCCCCATCTTTTATACATATATATATATACAAATACGTGTATATGTATGTACTATGTGTATATATATATTCCCTGCTTAGAACCAGTAAGTAAATAGTGCAGCAAGATCCGCATCTTCCCTGTGAGTTTTTGGGGGCGGCGCTCAATGTCGGAGTTGGGCTCCAGAGCCTGGCTGCAGAATCCCAAAATGTGGGGGGGTTTCCCAAGATGAGGGGTCTTTAGGGTTATAGGGTTTAGGGTTTAGGGTTATAGGGTTTAGGGTTTAGGGTCACTATCCTTGGAGTCCCAATAATAACGCAAGTGGCGATGCTTTGGTGGTGAAACGTTCATCGATGTATCCGAAACCCCTCTTTTTTGGGGGATTTGGAATGCAGTTGTGCATTTTACGGTGGTGGAAAAAGATTTGACGCCGGCAGTCCGTCAACAGAAGACAAAGCTTTCAGCGTTTGTTTTTCCTCGGGCTTCTGTTGTCACAAAACCCTGTTGGAATTGTGGTGATGGACATTACCATGGCTTGGGCACGGAAGGTCTGGACATTGGAATATCTCAAACATGGACGTTGTTCTGGCTTGGGCATTGATGCTCTGGCCATCCGAATCTCTCGAACCTGGACGTAAGTATTGCCTGGCCGTGAGTGCTCCAAGATCAACGACCCTCTCACGGCCATATTTGCGCTGCTTGACAACAATGAGGAGTTTAATCTTTGGGGTCTCAATTGGGGTCACCGGTGTAGGGAAAATACTGTTGATGGATGAAATCTTGCACCACCTTGGGGCCCTGAACTACTGTAGTTCCTAGGACTTTAGGGACTTAAGGTTGTGCAAGATTTCCTCCATCAACAGTATGGGTGTATTTCTGGCTAATGCAGTTGGAGCCTCCCAGGTGATGCCATGCCTTGCCACAAGGCGAGTAACCTCGCGTTATGCAGATCACTGGCTGCAGGAAGACAAAAACATACTGGTGGTTAGTAAGGGGGTAAGGGAATATGATCCCTATATATTCCCCATATAATTTGTATCTTTAATATCCCCTTGTTCCCTACTAACCGCCAGAAAGAAGTGGTGAATTGCACCGGTTGGGCACAGAGGCTCAGCAATTTCTCCTCACGGCGGTTCACGGCCACTTGTGGGCATCAAGCACCTCAGCTTCTTGATATCGTGCAAAGCCCCATGCCCAGCTAAACTTGATGCTACGCCTTCTTCAATGTGTATGATAGCTAAGAACATTCCTAAAGCTCAGGCCAGGAAACTGCCGAATGAGCAGAGGAATGGCCAGCGGGTCAACAACACCCAGCAGCACATCGTCAGCATAGTCCTGGTGCAGCGCTGGGCTTCTGATCTCTCTGCATAGGTCTGGAAGGAGGACGGCCAAAATCCCCCCGGGTCCAGGGCAACCAGCAGCTGGTGGTCTTTTGGTAGCACCTGCCAAGTGTACAGTATGTCCACAATATCTGCGTGCTCCTCCTGCAGGTGCCGTGCAGTTCCTGCTTTATTTGTCCTTTTCTAGATACCTCAAGTGCCTCCATAGCCTGAAAGCATCCACAGCAAGCACAGGCCTGTATGCGAGAAGCTGCATCTTTCCTGGGCCGCAGACAGGCGCCACAGGAAGAATTCTTGCCAAAGTCCCTACACAAGGGGATGTCACCCAGAAAGTTTACAAGTGGCTAAGATCTGCATTAAAACGGCCAAGAGGCCCTCTAGATTGGATGCGGTCCGGCTCTGTGACAGACCCGCAACTAATCTCATCGATCTCCTGGCGCTGCAGCAGGAATACGACTTCGTGCCCGCAGGGTTTGCCTAGGATTATGTGGGGATCGAGAAGTATTATGGGGCGCTTATGACACCTTAGGGGTAATTCTCTAGCCTCTCAGCCGCTGGCCTTTTTGAGCTTCACCAGGCTCCACCTTCTCTTCAGCAAGCCGAGGTCCACGCCGGCCTTGACACAAAAAGGCTGCAAATGGATTCTGCTAAGGTCCATTCGGCTTGACCAGATCAATGTCACTGTGCATAGACTTCAGGGTTGGATCATGTGTTAGGCGCTGCTGGACTGCTTTTGATAAGGCTGACGAAAGTCAGTCTCACCTACTGCTTTAGCAGGGATAGTCTGGATCCTGCATCTGCATGACACGGCATGCCTGCATCCGAGGAACTACGGTGGTAACGGTGGTAACGTAGACAATCACCTAAGTCCTATGCAGGAGTGCTTCAGATAACGTAGCAGCTCTTCTCCGCCTCGGTCAGGAAAGCTGTCAAGTAGAGGGCCGCGGCCGCGTGCATGGTGCTCGTGGGCCAGTCGCCCTGGCTTGTCTTCACATATATACTCTGCTTACTGGTTCTTAGCAGGGAATAAAAGAACAGAATCCCTATATACGATCTACTATATTCCCTTATTCCCTACTATGAACTAGTAAGTCTGGCGACTTCTTCAGAAAAATGCCGTAAGGGACGATCTAGGAGACATCCCTAAGAAATGTCTCCTAAAACAGCCCGGCCATTATCTCGCATCCTTATCATCATGGGGAATCTCACAATGGACGGTTCCTGGAAACCTATGCAAATCAAAAATTGGGACCCAAATGGAACCAATGTACAAAATTGGGCCCCAAAGTGGACCAAATGTACACTATCTTTTACCATAGGGACTCCCCAAGAAGGACCTCTATTTTTTTTGGAACCCCTAGCCACCAAAATGCACTATATAAAAACAGCTTCCATGTAATTTCCATGTTCTTTTCCATTTGACTCTGGGGGGATAGCACCCCTAGATTGCCCTTAAAATCGCTATGCCATCCCTGTGTTCTACTGGTTCTTAATAGGGAATAACGGAACATGCTCCCTACATAATGTATATTCCCTTATATAGCCCCTGGGTGACTCTTTCTTGTCCAAGCCGCCTCAAAGGGCAGCGGTAGCTGGGAGAGTTCCTCAGACACATCCTCCCCTGCTGAGCCTGGAACTTGGCTTTAGATTCTATAGGGTTCTATCGTTCTGTAGGAATTAAGGGATTATATACTAAATAAGTATATGTAAGGATCGTATAAGGCTTGTGCTAGTTACATGGGGTTGTATAAGGGGTTGCCAAGACTTTGAAAAGCATTGCCGCAGGAGAGCCTATGAAGACATTCAAGGAGATCGATGGGCCTGCAGGCAAGCTACACCAGCAAACGGACGCCGTACACATCATTGAGGCTTACTGGTGGTTAGTAGGGAGTTGGGGAATAAATCCCCATATACTGCCCCAACACCCTAAACCCTAAACTCTATAATCCCCATAGACTGCCCAAAAATAGATTCCCTTATTCCCTGCTAACCTCCAGTGGGCAGTGGAGAGGGCCTTCCGTTCCGGAGGAAGTTCGGTGAGCCCAGAGAGGAGGAAGGTAGAGCCTGATGGATCTTCAAAGCTGGCAGCATAACAAGTTGGAACATGGGGTTTCCCAAATTAGGGGTACCTTTCTCGGGTGCATGTACATGCAACGCATACATGCATGTACAATGTCCATACATGCGCAACATGTAGAACTCTGAAGAATTGGTTACCTTTCGCATCTTTGATGTGGCTCTGTGGACTTCCATCTGTTGAACAATTAAGGGAACCTTGCTGCCCAGCCACAAGTCACCGGGCTGCAGCATGACAGTGGAGAAGGCCCACCCTCTCAGCACACTTGCTGCCATTAGCATGAACTACTAATATATAGGGATATTCCCCCCAATATGGCGAATCAAATGGAAGAGAAAAGGGAACATTCAATGGAAACAGTGTTTATAGGAGTAAAAATATAGAGCTGTCTGAAGAGGTGCCTGTGTCGTTCATCACTTGCCGCGCCTCCAATGCTGCAAGGCAATCTCAAGCCTACGGTCTACGAACTGAGCGTTAGCAGCTGGGCCATTCATTGAAATCTGAGCTGTGTTCGTATGGATGCCCAGTGGGGGGTATGGACAATGTTCGCAAGGCTGTCGGAGGTAACCTGAACAGCAACATGCAGGGCCATCGTTCAGAGTTATCCGGCAAGCTGAGATTAAGGCAGGTCGAACGTCTTGCTTCCCAATCTCAGATCAATGTCAATCATCCCTACCACCACACAAGTACGTGCCTAAAATGTCTCGGGTCTGCGTGCACACCCTTTGCATGCTGGGGTGCATCTGCACAACGACGTTGTGCCCCATGTCGTAATGTGTGGATGCACCCGTTGATGGGCAGGATATCCAAACGTTCGCCTTTGCCTGACAGGGCTGAATTCAACGCTTCAGACTCCAGAGCATGTCTATTTTCTGTCAGACATCTATGCAAACAGGAACACAAAGATAATACTCATTGTCGCCGTGAATCTTCCTGATCTTGTCATTGCAGTCGCTGTTTATCTTTGTTGCTGGCAATTTCCGCAGGAGCAGGCAGGGCATGAGGCACCAAGACTAAGTCATATATAACTGTTCCTGGAAAATGAGAACCACCTGTCAGCAAAAGCCCAAGAGGATGCCTATAGCAAACAGCATCCAGCACTCACATTTTATTTGGTCCGTCATAACCCCAGAACTGGTAATGGGGGGTCGTAGTAAGGCCTCTAGTAGTACTTAGTACCAGTATGATACCTGTGATGGTAATGCAGGTTCCAGTCGCCTCCAAGTCTCTGGTTGTAAGTGCCGTTGCGGCTTCCACGCTGCGCAGCGTGTTGGAAAACGCCTCTACGAGACCTTGCACGTCGGCGTGAAGCTTTCCGCCGGCACCTGCCGCATCTAGAGAGGCCGCTTTTTCGGCATATGAACGAAATTGATTAGTTATTTCTGAACTAGCTTGCGGTTTCTCGTTGAGCTTACGGTATGCGCCAAGCAGGAAATGAAGTCTGCACAGAACTCTACCAGCAAGCAGCATGCATCCAGCTGGAGATGCCTTCCGCGAGGCCACTGTAGAAGTACTGTTCCTTCCATCAGCATGGCAGCTCTCTTTGCCTTCCACCCCAAAGGTTAAAATCCAATTTTAATGGGCACTCGAAAAAAAATCCTAAACCCTAAATAATAGTTTCCATTTTCTTTTCCATTATCCAATTCTTTAATATAGGACTATAACCCTGAAAGCCCTACTTGCCAGGGTCAGTCCTCTTGGCTTGAAGCACATGCCTCAAACAGCTCTTTGGTGCTCTTTTGCTCGAGGATTTGGTGAGGTCTTGGCGTCCATTCGGCATCCAGCAAGGGGCCCAGCGTCCTCCCAGGGACAAAGTACCTCAGATTTTTGGATGTGGATGCTGCATCTTCAAACCGCGTGCTACCAGAACTTTTAGGATCCCCTTCAAAGAGGAACCCAAGAAGGGACCTCTTCTTTCAGCCGGGAATCGTGAAGCGAGTCAGTTTGCTAATACGCTTCTTGGCCCACACATCTCGCAGGAACGGGGCACTGGCTGCCAAGGACCTGTGCGGCTAGCAGCAGCCTCTTTTAGCGATATGCGACACTGCCCTCTCAAATGTTTTGCTGTCAAATGCACAACGCGGCTGATACTACTTACTAGAAGTCCTTCCCTACGTACCCTTTGCCTTGGGAATTATGGTGGTTTAGACACGCTCATCTCGCTGCAGGTGCGGAGTTATAGCAGTAGTATACCAAGGTGCAAGGTTTTTGAACCACCCAATCTGCAGCTGAGAGCGCAGCTCCTCTGTCCAGCGGAGGAGCGCATGGCATGGCAGCTGAGACGAGGGAAGCTTGGCCGGCCGCGCTGCCTCCTCAGCAAAGAGACAGGCAGCAGTTGTAGCAACTGATAAAGAAACTGTCTTATGCAGGAGGTTGGTGCCAAGCTTCCACAGCCTCCCGTAAAGTCACGCCATCGAGTGGGCCGATGGTGTCCTTCATTTTTTCCAGCGCAGGTGGCTCGGGACTGTTTGAGGCGTCTGGCAAAAGACTTTCAACAGATCCCCTGTTCCTGATGTACACCATGTAGTCGAAGCCACAGGCCTTCAGGCAAAACCCAGACAGCTTCTCTTTAACGAAGCATGGATGCAGGTCCATTGAATGCTATGCGGTAGTTTCCCCCAAAACAGACCCCAATATACTTCAATCCTTATTCTGGAGACCCCCAAAATGGCATCTCTCATTTTAGGACGCCCCCATGTGCTGGTCAGCCTGAAAAGCATCAGCCCTGCCGCAACATTCCAGACCTGTGTCCCAAAAGGCCGCCTGCGAGGCCAGCCAGGGCCAATGCGGCTAGAGCAGGCCATACAAGCAAAGGCATTGCTAGTAATAAATATTAATATAAAATAGTAGTAGTAGTAGTAGTAGTAGCAGTAGTAGGAGGAGTACTCGTAATATTGAAAGTACTAGTAGTAATACAGGTTCTAATACTTAGTAGTAAAAGTACTAGTGGTAATTGCAATAGTAATTAAGAATAGTATGGGTAGCCTAGCACTGCTAGCGTGCCTCACCATTCTCAAAGTCAAGGTTGACACGTGATTGTTGGGAGGTGTGGCTAGCTATACTCTATGGTCGAGTCTTGTTTTTGCTTCGTCATAGCTGGGAGCCAGGGACATGCACAGCCAGCTCCAGTTGTAGACCATGCCCTCTGTTGTTCATGCCGGTGCCAGCAGGCACCAACATTAACATGACAGACCCCAAACGCGGCAAGCTTGCTGGAGTGGGCTGGGAAGCTTACGACCGTCGCTGCGTCATCATCCGTGCAGTGTGCAGGCGCGCAAAAACCTCAGTGCTGGCCCAGTGCTTGCGTGGAAATAGCACAAGTCTCCTGAGAGGCGGTCACCAGTGCGTAGTCATTTGCGACCCACCCACATCCGGATGCCCGCCATTGAAGATCATCACCGTGGCCTCACAACGCAACACATCAAGAAGAGCTCAGCGCAAGGCTTCGGATGGTGTACTTCTGTGCCCGTCGGGCCTCAAACATGTGGCCGTGCAGATGGTGAAGGGCTTCCTCCAATGCGAGTCGGCTCGTTCAAGTTCGTGCGGCAAGTCATCAGCAAACTACTGAGTCTCTGGCACAGTCGGCGGCCACCCGTTCCAACTCAGCAGTGTATTCAGGCACATTTATGTTTGGTCCTACTGCGGCCCAATGGCTCAAGCCAAACCATCTTCTCAAGTCTCATTGGCTGACAATGGATAGCAGATCAAGGCTCACGCCTTGTGGTTCCAAAGCCCCAGGGTTGCCAAGGGAGAGAAGGTCTGCAGCGTAGCCCACAGTTTGCAGCAGTTGCTTGCCGTCTAACGCTTTGGGCTAACCTGCCTCCGCCACGGCATCAAACTCCTCCAAGCATCTGGAGGGCGCACAAGCTGCCTGCAATGCAGTGCAAAATGATCGTGGACACTCCTATCACAAAGCCCGTAGCAAGTCTCTGACTGGGCTAGAAATAGATGCTGCGCCCTTTTTCCAGCATCAGTCATTGACAAGCGGACATGTCACTTCCACTCTCGCTGTGGTCTACTTCCGCGCAGCTTCTTCAGAAGTTAGGCGCCGACAGCAATGGACAGCATTTTAATCAACCACATGTCCCTGCCGTTTCTTTCCGCCCCTCTTAGCTTCCAATAAAATTTGGGCGCTTTGCATAGCTGCACATACAGAGGTTGCATCCACAAGTATGTCTTATGAAGCTTTGGAATAATACTGAAAGTAGGTGCACCTTGCTGACGGCAGGGCTGGTCCGATCAAGTCGTGCGAAAGTAAGTCAAACTTAAGCTCCATCACAATCATGGGCCCATGTTCTTCCCGCCGAAATATGGGAGTTCTTGTGCAGGGGCCTGCGAGAGAACCATATTTTCTTGAGAGCCCCCATGATTCAACAAAGAAGCCGGGGAAGCCACTACCAGAGCCAGCGTGGTTGTGGCTCTGCGAGTCAAATTGAAAGTGACCTCTTTGTCAAGGCAGGCAGGGACAAGGCAAGCTGAAACAAAGCGTGCGCGGAGCCGGAGCCTTGTTTTCAAAGCATCTGTGTAACACCGTGTAACAGTGTTGTAGCTTTCCCGTAAGGTTTTCTCAGCATTGGCCATTTAACTTTGACGCACTGCTGCTGCTGCTGTTGCTGCTAGTACTGCTACTGCTGCTACTAGTAGCCGCCGCTGCTCTTGAATGTCGCGGGTGAGCAGTAAACAGACTAAGCAGAAGAGAGTGCCTTTAGTGGAACGTGCCACAACCAAAGTTTGAAGTAGGTACTCGCAACATGATGTAACATGATGGCAATGAGCTGCTGCTACTGCTGCTGCTGCTGCTGCTACTGCTGCTGCTACTGCTACTGCTGCTGCTACTGCTACTATGCTACTACTGCGACGACGACTGCGACTACTACTACAACGACTACTACTTAAAAATACCGCAACCCTACTCCTACTTCGACCGACGATCACATTTTGCTGCTGATGCTCTGATGGGAACGGGCTGATTGGTCAGGCAGGTGCCCAGTGTGCCAGCATGTGCAATGGCCGAACTATACCGACATACTGCAGGGGTTGGTTGAAGGGCCAGCACCTGAACACGACGGCACTTGTGGACGTGCCTCTGGCTCTGAACCATTCACTGCGGGTGGGCCGCACATTTTGCCTCCCGCTTCGAGCGCGGCCGATGAAATGTTGCTTCCTCCCTGGTTGGGAATTGCTAGAGACGTCGAGCGGGTCAAGTAGGTCTGCCAAGATGACGTGGAAGTTGAGCGCGCTCTAACGAAGGGGACGACAAGAGCATCTGCATATTGCGATGGGCTCGCTATGTGGCCGGACCATGTGGAAAAACGAGGCACGCAACGCTCTAGACAGCTGCATGGTAGTCGGGTGTCTGAAGATCTGGCGCGGCACAGCGCAAGCACTTGACCAAGCTCAGCCAAGGATCTTGAGTTGTAAAGGCATGCTGGCAACAGCGGCCACGGCTCTTGTCAAGAAGACTGTGTAGCCTGAGCCGTTCTGGTTGTCTGACAACACTCGCCCTCACAGCGTCTGGCTTGGACAGAAAAAGCGGGCATTATCTTCGAGCCGGGAATCGTTTTTGGGATGGCTGCCCTTGCCTTGCACGGCAGGCTGAAGAGAATGATTGCGCGGTCGCTAGATCTGCTGTTGCGGTCGTGTTGGGTGCAGTTTGGCAGGCTGGAACGCAGGTGGGCAAAGGATGATGGAGAAAGTTGAAGATTTGAACGCCAGTGGCGGCAGCGTCCAACCTTCGATTGCCTTGCACTTTTGAGTTTGGGTCATGCAAGGCTTGCTTGCGCTCCCATGAGTCGTGACATGAGCATGGATGGTAGTTCAAGGTGCCTGTCGACCTTGAGAAAGGCATGCTGGCAAATTCAGCCGACAGGGTTCGGCCAAGTCCTGTTAGGTGGTTTAAGGTGGCGACATCTTTTGTGGGTATGGCAAATGCCAGTGACATCGCCACGTTGTGCACCGGAATGGTTGTACAGACTGCTTAACAGTGATTTGCACGTGTTCACTGGGCTGCGACTCCTCTGACAGCATTGAATCAATGTCAAGTCGGGGTACTGCTGTGTGCAGCGGCAGCAGCAGCAGCAGCAGGTGCAACAACAAGAAGTACCGCTACTGCCATTATTACAAATACGACGATGCCGCCTCCTTCTACTTCTACTCCGGCACATAGCATGACCCGATCTAACTGGTTCCAAAAAAGTTTCCCCCAAAATGAAGTCTTCGACATAGCTGACTCCTTTCTAGCATAGCAGTATCTGGAAGTGTTTGATTTGATGCCCAGTGCACATGAAATTACATAACGAGCTCGACCTTCCCCTATTGCCAAAAGAACACGGGGTGACGCAACTATTATAACCACCATACAGACCCTGGTGCTTCCTTGCCAGAGGATAAAGTTTCGCCTTGCTTGCAGATTTTGAAAGGCAATGCTAACTAGCGTCGGGCCAGAAAATCAATTGCGCAGCTTTTCTTACTGGGGCGTAATAGGGCATATGGGAATATTCACTATATTTCCATAGTACCTACTAACCCCAGTAAGTTTTTGTGGGTGGGGAATGAGCTCCTGGCATGCGTGCTCCTTCGACTCAAGCCCCTCTAGCGCACGCCACGATTTACAAGCCATCATCTCCTGACAAGCCCATCACGTCCCTTTCCTGAAATCATGCCGCAGCTGTTCGTGGCTTCAAACAGCCTCTCTGCAAAATACTCTACTGTTGTCGAGGTACTGGATGATGTGCATTCCGCGTGGTGGCACTAAAACGCCATTACTGCAACCTGGTACTATTGATTCCACTAGTCCGAGAATAGGGAGATGTTGATCTGCGCAGCGGCATTTTTTTGGCTTGTTGGGCCCTGCCCTCCAGGGCATATGGGGCAACCTAGATTTCAACACATACCATCGGCCTGCTAGCCAACATTCCTTAACCCGCTCTGGGCTGTTTTGACCCTTGATTGCTGGCATCATGGGGCTCGGCTGATGAAGCTAAAGCAATAATGGTAGTAATAATACCTTCAGGGAGGTTGTTGGTTGGCAGGCCCATGAACAGAGCGCTCACATGCTTCGAGAGCTCATCTGGATATCTTCAGAGATCGAGTCTTCCGAGTAGACCTGCGGCTCAAGGTTAATGCGCTTCCAAGTCTGCTACAATTACTGTACAAAGTGAGGGGGCCCCCAAAAGTTACTGTCATTGTAAAGACCTCAGAACCCGGAACATTTGCCTTGAAGGATTTGCCTTGGACATGATTCTTCACCAGTCTTTGATTACCATCTTGTCATCCTGCAAACTAACCGATGCTGAAGGGGAGCAGGGAAGCAAATCCCTATAGTTCCCCATGTACTCCACAGATACATATATATATATATACATATGCAAATCTGTACCTGTGTGTATACATATATGTTACAAGAATGTCCGCCACATGGAGAGTGCGAGCCTCTTCCG